CCAGCTCCACTATCCAGCCCACACACATTTGCTGATGAGTGCCTTTCTGTCTAGTCACCCCTGCCCCAGTCCTGGTTTTTGTGCCCTCCCATGGGAGTGGTAACCCACGAGGGAGGTGCCCACTATTTCTCTTCTATGCCATTCCCACTCCCAGATCATGCATTTTTCTAGGTGGTTCTGTAGTTTAACTTGACAGAATAGCTCCCAGTGCCAGCCCCTGCCAGCTGATGCTGCAGCAAAGCCCAACCAACCCTCACCCACTCTAATTTTTGCTTGCACCAGTCAGAACAGTCAGCCCAGCCTGGCTTTTTCCTGATCTGACTCATATGAGGTCCACAGGTGTTGTAGCCCTGCCCAGTTTGTTCTGCCCCCATCCCAACTCATGCTCTCCAGTGGGAGTGGTTGTCCAGCAGGAAACCCCCCACTTTCCCCCTACCAACTTTGCCCTTTCCTTCTCTGATTCCTACTAGTGCTGCGGCCCATTCTGGCATAGCCCACCTCACCTTGGCATTTCCTAGTGGTTGCTGTAGTCTGGCCCGGCCCACCCCCAGTTCCAGCTGGTGAGGGTTACAGTCGAGCCCATCCCAGCATGTACCCAGCATGTACACTGATAATGTGTTGCAACCATACCTGGCTTGACCCAATCTGTTCTGGTGCTCAGATTCCCCAGTGGGTGAAGTGAACTGGTTCAGCCTGGTCTTCCCCTGACCTGTGCCAAATGTATGCCAGTGGGTAACTTTCCATGGCCTGATCTAGGCTGTTCCTTATCGTGCTTCTTGCACTCACCTGCAGGACTGTGTTCTGCCAGAGGAGTTATCCAGGCTCCCCCATCAGAACCTCTCCCAATGCCAGATTTCGCTCATACCGGTGGATTCATGAACCAGCCCTACTCAGTTCACCTCCTGTCCTAGCAGGAACAGTGGCTTTTCCTTGCTGGCCTTCAACCTATTCTGGTTCTTACTGTTGGATGTTTCAGCCCAGCCAAGGCTTGTCCATACCTAGACACTACTCACACATGGCTCAGTAGGGGCAGAGACCTAGCCTAGTCCGTCCCACATCTACCCAGGTTCTGCAGAGCACCAGATGGTGTTGGAGTCTAGCCCAGTTAGGGGCACCCAGCCTCCTTCCACACTTGTGCCAGTGGAGACTGCAGCCATATCCAGACCAGAACGCAGCCCCCACTCTGGCCCCCATGCTCCTCAGTGGGAACCCCAACCCAGGTAGGGTGTCCCCTTAGCTCCCCAACCGAGCCTGTTTCCAGCCATAGATTGCACACATGCCAGTGGTTGCTGACTCAGCTTGGCTCAGCCCCTCACCTGTCTTGGCCATTAACTGAGACACTGTGGCTTAGCGTTCCTGGCTCTTGTAGAGATGCAGGTGCAAGAGCCTAGCTTGGCATGACTTGTGCTCCATCCTGATTTCTAATTTTGCTTGTGAGTTGAAGTTTGCTCAGTCCTGTCCGGTCCACTCCGTTCCACTTCCGACCCACACATTAGTCAGCCATTGGAGCTACTTTGCCCAGCTTGTCCAACCCCCAGGCCTGGACCATGTTGATCATCAGTGTGAGTTGTGACCCGCCAGGGGAATTTCCCAAGTTCCTCCACTTGACCCACTCCCAGACCCAGTTCTCACACATGCCACAGCGGTGTTAGGCCAGCATCCAGCATAGTCTGGCCTTCCATTTAGCCTTGTATGAGCTGGTGAACATTGCAGCCTGTCCCACCCCAAACCCTATTTAGGATGCACATTCGGGTGCTGCTGCCTTGATCAGTCCAGACTATTATCGGGTGCTTTACCCGTGAGTGATGGCAGGCTCCTTGGTAACAACTAGCGTAGTCCATCACCACCCCAACTCTTGAACTAACCAGTGGGACTAGTATTTCCACAGAGTTTGGCCCACACATCCCCTACAGAATCTACACTCGGAAATGGTTCTCTCGTGTGCTGGTTAACCTCATGACCCTGCCTAATGTGACCTGTCTCCTGATCTATCATTCTGTCAGGTACTAGGATCTGGTCCTGCAAACAAGCCCCCAGCCTTAGCTTTTGTATGGATTTGTGTGCGGTGGTCAGCATTGTTCGGTGATAACAAGTTCTACATTGGACTCAAAGGAGGCTGGTTTATCAGTCTGACCCATGAAGAACATCTGGTCCCTCTCCAAACTACCAGGTCTCAGTACCCTTGCTTACCTTCAAAGGAAAAGTTACTCCCTCGTTGGAGTCTTCAGGATTAATTTGCGACCCAGAAGCACAGTGGGCTGAATGTGGAGGTACCTAGGAAGCAATACCGCACCCCTAAGACCTCAGCGCTCACCATCGGGCAGCCAATTAGGGCTCCGAGCATGAAGACGGACCCGACCTGGAACCTGCCAGCTGGCAACAGGCTGCTGGAAGTTTTAAGTCACAGACCCCAAGGTCACCCCCTCCCCAATCCCACCCACTGTGCAGTGTTGGCGGTGGGTGGGGCCCTGGGCCTGCCCTGTTCTCCAGATTTCCGCTCTCGGTGTACTCACCAGGAAGGGAGCCAAGCTAGTTCTTAAACACTTTGTTTTATAGTGCACTAAAACAAATTTGACTTGACTAAATTAATTTATTATATAATTTCAAGAGGTTTGAGGTGTAACAATGTATGGCTTAAATTTTGACATAGTGTCTTCATTTTATCTTATTTGTATTAACCCACAACAGATCTCAATACTCTGGTAATAGTAAAAAAAAATCTTACGCAGCAAAATCAGGAGAAGAGTTTAATTCAATAGCTAAAAACTTTAAATCGTTGCTAATTTGGGAATGAAACCCAGAATAGCTTCTTTTCCATTTGCTGAATAACCATATTCTCTTTCTTCTAAACAGACTCAGTGTCAAGAGACAATTATCTTCTGTGTCTCATACTGATACTTTAACTGGAGAATTCAAAAAACGGAAAAATGACTTAGTTTATTTCTGTAAACACTTTTTGTTTTTCCAAACCTCCTCTTTTCCCTCTCCTGTCAAAGGCTTCTGTTTATATCATTAAAAGGATTTTTGGAAAGTTCTTTTTCAATTTTATGGTTTAATTGAGATCTTGTTAAATTTAACTTAAAAATAATATTTTATAAGGGATCTTCAGAGAGCTTTTAAGAACCAAGGAAAAAAGATTACGTTATCTTAGTTGCTTCTGATGGGAACTGCATTGCTTGCTTTACCTAAACAGGGAAGTTGGCATGTCTGCCTAGCAACAGACGCTGAAGCCTTCTGTTGTGGAAGGTTCCCTGGCAGGGAGAAGGGAGGAGGAGGAGGAGCCGGCCAGGAGGGACAGATAAATCTCTTCTTCTTGAGGGAGACAGGCCTGGTTGGTTGAGCAGCAAAGAGGCTGTCAAGCCTTGGGTAAGCACCTCCCGGTGAAAGCTGGAGGTTTCCTCTTGGTAGGGCGCCGTGGCTCCCTGCTTCTCTGCAGGGTGCATGTTTCCAGGTGTTAAAGACTTGCAAGGATGTCTGAACCCTTACAAACACACCAGGCTTTCTCCTAAGCACACACGCCTATGGCAAAGTTTAACTTGCAACATTAGGCATTGTGAGACATTCACAACAGTAAGCGATTATAACACATTGTGGTAAAGTCTAACTTGTTAACGCTCTCTGGAATTTGCCATTTAATATCCCCACCCCCCCACCCCCTTTGGCTGGGTTACTGGGCTCACTGAAAGCGAAATCCCAAAACAGGCCTATTTCAAGATTGAACAAAAGGCTATAGATTGAGCTCATTTCAAAAGCAGGAGACGCCAAGCGATAGAAAGATCTTCCAGGAGAAACTGACATCAGCTGCGGGGGCTTGGGGGGCGTTATCAACCCCCAAGGGGCTGCCCATTTCTCTTGTACACGTACTATGAAAGCACTGTGAGATTCACTGGACCAAGTTCAAGGCAGGAGCTGTTCTCAACCTTGTAGGTTTTTGGCAGTTGGTGTACGCCCAGGACCAAGACCTGAAGTACAGGCAGAATTAAACTGGCTCTCTGCTTTGTTTGGGGTGACTTTACACCGCACGACATTTAAGGAATTTCGCTTGTGACTCTTCTCAAAAGCAGGAGTAATACCACACACTGCACGGCCTTGAAGGGGTCCCCTAGTCCCCGGAGCCACACCATCGTCCTGTGCTAGAAATGACAAGTCACACAGAGTCACAGGGGCAGCTTCTAGATCCAGGAGCTCCTCAGGACTGCTCGCCCACCACCCCCCAAACCCCCACGGTTCCGATTCTTCACTCGGGCCTTGAGGAGACCTTCGGGGCAGTGAGTACTCAGCCACGTTTGGGGGGCGCTGGGAGAGGGGCGTCTTCCCCGCCGCCGCGGAGCTCAACTCTTTCGGGGCGACAGGGACAAGGCTGATGAGCTCGAGCAGCTGGATTCAAAGAAAAGAAGAAAAACTAGGTCGGGGCGGCGGAGTAGAGGGGGACACAGAAAAAAGAGCGAGGCAGCCTGAAGGGCAGAGTCAAGTGCGAGCCTGGGAGGCAGCGGCCCTCGCTCCCCGCGTCCCCCGACGCCCCGCGTCCCCCGGCGCCCCGCGCCCTCGCTCCCCGCGCCCCGCGCCCTCGCTCCCCGCGTCCCCCGGCGCCCCGCGCCCTCGCTGCCCTCGTCCCCGCGCCCGCGCCCGCCCCGCGTCCCCGGCGCCCCTCGCTGCGCCCGCTCGTGCCCCCCGGCGCCCCGCGCCCTCGCTGCCCTCGTCCCCCGGCGCCCCGCGCCCTCGCTGCCCTCGTCCCCCGGCGCCCCGCGCCCTCGCTGCCCTCGTCCCCCGGCGCCCCGCGCCCTCGCTCCCCGCGTCCGCGCTCGGGGCCGCCCGCCCGGGCGTTGGTGGCCCGCGGTGACTCAGAGCTTTCCGGGCCGCCCCGCCCCGCGGGAGGAGGGGCGTCGGCCTCCTCATCCCCGCCCCAGGCTCCGGGGCGGGCCGGCGTCTGAGGAAGAGGAAGGGGGACGAGGACGACGAGCGACGGGCCGGCCGAGGACGCTGAGGAGGAGGAGGAGGAGGAGGAGGAAGAGGAGGCCGAGCAACAAGATGGCCCCTGCTGCAGGAGCGGCCTCGGCAGCAGCAGGTGGGAGGCCGGAGGCGGCGCTGGCGCTGGCGGCGGCGGCCGCGGCCCGCAGGCCCGGGACGGAGTCCGAGGCGACGGTGGCGGCGCTGGCGGCCGTGGCGGTGGCTGCCGCGGCGGTGGCGACGGCCGCGGGGACTCGGAGCTGAGAGGAGCTGCTGCTCGGACCAGCGCGGTGAGCGGGCGGCGCGGGGGAACAATAGGCCGCCCCGGCCTCGGCGGCGACCGGCGTCCCTTAGGCCTCGGGCCTCGGCGTGCGGCCTGGCCGGGGAAGGCGGGCCGGGGCCGGGGAAGGCGGGCCGGGGAAGGCAGGCCGGGGCCGCGGCCGGGGAGGCGCCTCTCGCTCCTGCCGGGGCGCGCAGGAAATGCTGTGGGGACCCCAGGTCTGCGCGGGTGGGAACAGGCTGCCGGCGGCTCCCTTCCCGCGGGCTGCGGCGTCCCTCTTCCCTCCCCCTGGAACTCTAGCTAGGGGAAAGGTGTGCAGGTGGCTGCCGGTCGCGGATGGAGGTCGGCTGGGTTCCTCTCTCGGTCTCCCTAACACAATAGTTGGCTCGGAACCGGAGCCCGGAAGGGAGTGAACCGACTCAGGGGTTCTTTCGGAGCGGTGATACTCTAACTCTTGACGTCCCGGAATAATCTATGAAACTGGAAACAAAGCCACTGGCTGGCCGCGCGGAGACGGATTGTACTGTTTGAATAGAACTTTGCCCAGCCGCGCCGTTTTGCATGGTTAATGTGCAGCCTTAAACACCCGCAGCATCAGCTAGCGCAAAATGGACCCGTCGAGGCGCTCGCCGAGGCCCGAGCGCTGCGGGGTCCCTCCCGGCGCAGGACAGCGCTTTGCCTTCCCGGTAATTTGTCCTCAGATCGCTCAGCGACCAGTCTTCTCTTGAAGCTTGGTTTCTGAGACACATTCTAAAACCTTAACACTTAGGGAAAAGCTGGGAGCAACCGTAGCTGTGTGGTGGGTGTTTGGACTTGCAGACAGCGCTCCAGACCGAGCGCCTGGCACTTCAGGGAGCTGATGTAGGTGCGCGCCCTCAATTTTTCAGGGCACCTACTGCGTTCAGTTTCGGGATAGCCTTGTATGGAAAAAATTATATTCCAATTGCTTGGATACATCCTCGCTGGCTTTCCTGTGTGGGCTTTCAATTGCGTGGTCCGTCCAAGCCTTTATTTTGAGTTTTTAAAAGGAAGATTGTGCAGAGAAGATGCCAATTAAACATCACTTTTAGGGGAAATTTCGAATTAGAATTGGTCCATGTCTGTGGGAACTAAACGCATTTTTAGATTGTATGAAGAGTAGCGAGCACCATTAGTACCCAGTTTTCCCACGGAAATTGGTAGTAAGAGACTAGCAGTGGGATAAACATGGTCTCTTAGGAGGTTGTGTGAGTGCTTGTTGATAATGATATTCATTTTATGCCTTCTATAAAGATGGAGATATTTTGAATTTTTGAACACTGCAGAAAGAATAACTTTATGTGACTCCTGCAGATGTGACATCTTTGCAAAGAACTTTTTTTCAGGTGCTCAAATCTGTGTTGTTTTTATTTTAAATGCTGTGTTTTGTTAGGTCAGTACAGAACACAAATCAAGCCTGTGTTGTAATGATATTTAAATTTATGTGTGGTCCTCAGGCTGTTAGAACAGTTGTTGTCAGGAATCTGTGTGAATTTGTAGTGCTTAATATACTTTGCTACAATGTTTTTGAAAGTCTGACCTTCCTAATACTTATTATCATTCTGTTGGAAACAAAGATTCTTCAGTGGTAATCTTTTATATTGAAATTCGATATTGACCCAGCTGGGTTCTTTTTGGCTGAGTTTGGGTTTCCATTTCTGTTAAATAGTGAAAAATCCCCTAGGGAATTGCTTTTGTATCAAAACTGTTAAGACATGATTGCTCCATTATATCCCCAATATGCCTGTTTACCTGGTTGTTTCAGTTCAGGTTTTCTCCAACAATATTTAAAACAGTTCCATCTAAGAAGTTTGGGGACCATAACTTAAGAGTCAGAAATGTATTTTAGTGACAATTTTGAAAATTAAAATGCATGCTTAATTTTAAGAGGTAGAAAAGGCAATTTTGTGTGTAAAAGATCACAATTTTCAGATCACTTGCGTGAATAAAAAGTCTTTAATCTCAGTAACTTTACTTAGGAATTTGAGGCCATGACAAGCTAGGTAATCCAAAGAAATTCACATTTATTCAAGCCCAGGTTTGTCACACAGATTAGATGCTGTAGTTCTGAGAGTGTATGTGTCACAGTTAAACTTGGAATTCTGGCAGCATCTTTGCTGATGAATCTGTTGTTGCCTGTGAATATGTTTTGCTATATTGTGTTTTCTTTAAGCCCTAATAATTTTTCTATTATTTGTACCCTAGCAGGTATGTTTTTATGGGACCAAGAAAATATTTTTGTGAATCAAAAAGAAAACAGTTTGTTTTTAGTGAGTCTGAATGCCACAAAATACAAACACCCACAGCAATTACTTTAGATTCGCAATATTGCTATAATTGTCTTATGACTGTTTGTATAAGCAATTAATAAGTTACATCCTTGATATGATTTGTGAAAATTGTAAAACAATTTTAATATTCGGTGAAGCCAAAGTTGAGTTAGCTAATATTTGAAATTTTAAGTTGTAGTTTTTCTGCTTAATCCATAGACATTTAGAATTTGTCAGTTCATCTCTAGGTCTTAACGGTTGGAATGGACTTTGCCAGGGTTCCAGTCAATCAGCTCTTGCGCTTCTCTTGAAAATGGTGGGCATCGAGCAGACAGATGATCCCTGTGTGGCGACGTCCAGGTCAGGCTGTCCCTTGGCAGTGTACCCCGGCCTGGCACAGCTTGGGCCCGTCTGTGCTCAGGGGTCTGGGCGCTCTTGGGGTTGCATTCAGAAGGACTCAGTGATTTCAAAGTCAGATTGTTTCTTTGGATCTTCTTTTTATTTGTTTATTTTTCTCTTGGGGAGGCCAAGAGACAGGGAGAGAGTGCCCCGAGAGGCCACGATGCTGGGGGCCAGCCTGGGGGTCAAGAGAGGAGCACTGGGCTTAGGTCTGGCACGGCTGGGCGGCAGGGGCGCAGTGGGCTGGAGCCAGCAGCACCGCCTCCCAGGCTTGGCTCCAGGAGGAAGTCGCAGGAGGGCATAACAGCCACACGCTCAGGTGTCAGGCCTGGCATCTAGCTGGAGTCAATGCCTGCCCCCAGATGCTCTTTAAGCTCTCTCCGTTTTAATGCTGGAGTCTAGGTTGGATTTGAATTAATCTTGAAAGTTGTGATACAAGTTTAATTCTGTCAGACATTTCTACAAAGAACATTTTCTTACCTCATGATTTCTTTCCTATTTCTGTATTTGTGTTTTGAAGTATGAATCTTACCATTCTGAAGTAGTGTCGCTCTGCGTCTACAACGGTCGTGGTGTTTTTTACTTGCATCCACTATTGTTGAGACTTGTGCCTTTCTATTTGCGTGGTGTTCTTTTTGTATATTGCATTAGTCACTTCCTACTTCAGCATGCTCTGTCTGGTTTCCATTGTGAGCTGCTGAAATCGTGTCAGTCCTAGAGGAAGAAGTGTTTCCCGTTCTTTCTGCTCTGGTGCTGTGCTGTCACGCCCCCCAGGAAAGAGAAGCCCTGCCCTCAGTGGGGTACACCCCCCTGCCTGCTCCCCCAGCCACTGGCAGCCACTGGCTCTTTTCTGTCTGCGGATTTAAGCGATGCTGTTTTGAGCCAAGATTAAGGAAGAGTGCTATTATAATTGAAATTGCAGGGGGAAAAAATTAAAAACTGGGCTCTCCTCGCAAGGAGTCAGACACGCTTCAGTCCTGGAACTTCTCAACGCTGTAGGCGTCCTGTCAGGGACGGGGGCGCAGCTGAAAGGCACAGAGCTTCGGAGTTTGAAGGTTAGTCAGTCCCAAGAGTTGAACCAAGACCCTCAGGGAAGACTTGTTTTACTTCATGGGATTGTGAGAATTAACTAAATTTTAATGTTCTGTATAATTTTGAGGAGTTAACACTTTAAAGTCTCACCTATAACTTTTGTCTTCTGTTTTTTCTTAATGTGTAGAAGAAACTTGGGATAGTAACAGGATTTATTTAAAGTTACGTTGAAAAATTGTTTTTTTTTTTAAAGATTTATTTATTTATTTATTGGAAAGGCAGTCTTACAGAGAGAAGGAGAAACAAGGGAAAGATCTGTGTCCACTGGTTTGCTCCCCAAGTGGTCGCAACAGTCAGAGCTGAGCTGATTCGAAGCCAGGAGTCCGGAGCCTCTTCCAGGTCTCCCAAGCGAGCGCCAGTCCCAAAGGTTTTTCTTTTGCTTTCATTCTTCTCTGTCCACCCCCACCCCCCCAACTTCAGCAGCCTTTGATCTTTTCACTGTCTCAGGCTCTGCCTTTTCTGGAACAGCAAGTGGTTGGGATCCTACACCATCCAGCTGCGTTGTATTGGTTGTCTTGCTCAGCGACATGCATGTAAGACTCTTCCAGGGTTTGTCATGGTATGATAGTTGATTTCTGCTTCAAAAATATCCTCCATTATCGAAATGCTGAACTCAGAATCCTAACCAAGAAAAGAGAGAAGACAGAACAGGTCAACCAACCACCTCAGCTATGATGGACTATGTCAATCAGTGGATTCATCAAGGACCTCATAGTGCTTGGAGTGGCAAGATTGGCAGTGATTCATAACTGTTGAAATATCAAAACCACTTGAGCAAGACCCTCAGAGCATGGCCTACATCCGGGACCTGGGGAGGATGGGAAATTGGGTGAGCCTTCTCTCTTAATACCCCTTTTAAACATGAAGGAAACAATATGGAAAAATATTAGTCTTACCCACTTTCCTGTAGCCCTTGAACCTTTTTACCCTAATTAACTATGTAAAGATTGTCAAAATAAATAAAAAAAAGATCCTCCATTGTATGTATACATTTAAATTTTAACTAAATGCAATTTTTTTAAAAGGCAGAATGATAGAGATATATTTATCTGCTGTTTCATTCCCTAAATGACTTCAGATGTGGAGCCCAGTGAGGTGAGATCTGGAACCTGGGATGGCCTCTGGGTCTTCCACACGGGCAGCAAGGCCCCAGTGCTTGGGCCATCGTCCACTGCGCGTTAGCTGGGAGCGGGAGCAGAAGCAGAGCAGTTGAGACTTGAACAGGCCCTCT